CAGTGCACGTGTGTCTCTTCTGCAGTTCGGACTTCACGTCTGCCAAAGCAACCCTGTCCGGAGTGGCGAAAACGAGGTCGTCGACGTAAACCAGAACAAAGAACGGTGTGGAGCCACGACGAACGAACAGCGACGGGTCGGCAGAAGACGGCTAGAACCCAAGGTCAGAGAGGGTAGAATGCAGAGTGTCGTGCCACTCACGAGGGGCCTGGCGAAGACCGTAAACAGGTCGCCTCAGCCTCCACTGGGTCCCAGGAGGGAAGGTGCCAGTGAAGGCCGAGGGACGACGCAACCAGACCTCCTCGTGTAGGCTGCCCTGAAGGAAAGCAGTGGAGAAGTCGAGAGAGTGTAACTCGTAGTCTCTCTGTGCTGCTACGTGTAGTAACACCCGAAGAGTGGTCATCTTCGGGGTAGGTGCGAAGGTCTGAAAGAAGTCAACTCCCTCGCGCTGACTGAAACCTCTAGCCACGTAGCGCGCCTTGAAGACCGGGGGAGATCCCGGTGGCCGCTTCACCCTGTAGATCCACATGCCGTCGACTACGTTCGCCCCAGGGGGGGGAACCTCATCGACGTAGGTGCCTGTGGATCTGTAGGAGGCCATCTCTGCGTCCATGGCAGCTCTCCACTGAGAGGCCCAAGGCCCTGACACTGCCTCAGCGTAAGTGCGAGGAGTCAGAATGTCAAGGGCGTCGGGGTCACCCTCAGGGGCGAGGAGCATGGCACAGAGATGAGGGGAAGCGGCCGCCAGGAACTCTAGCTCAAACTGCCTGTCCTCTAGGGCGTCACAGCCAAGGGCAGACACACCCCCGACGGCCAGAGGACTGGTAGGAGGAGCAGCCACAAGCGTGGTGGCGTAGTCAAGGCGGCGGGTAGAGGCAAAGTCAGTAACTGCGGCAGTAAGAGCGGACACAGAGGACACAGAGGCACGAGGGTGAGTAACAAGAGAGGCGAGAACACGAGAGAGAACAGGACGGTACGTGCGGTAGTAGTCAGTGACAGGAGTAGGGAGCGACACAATGAGGGCCGACTTAGGAGGAGACGGAAGCACAGACTGAGACGGACGAGGTGGACTAGAAAGAAGGAAGGCAGTACGAAGGTCAGTGAAGGGAACAGGAGACGAGGGACGAGCACGAGGGGAGCGACGAGTAGCCCAAGAACGAGACGGAGGAGGAGAGGACAAAGGCGGAGAACTGGGGAAAACAGCGGGGGAGGAGTCAGGAGGAGGAAACGTGGGACCGTAGACAGGAGGAGAGGCGGAGGAGGGAGGAGAAGGGAAGGGGAGACCAAGGGTCCGAAGACCCGAGACAGGAGGAGGAAGTGGCTGCTGCTGCTGCTGCTGCTGCGACTGCTGCTGCTGCGGAAGCGGCTGCTGCTGGGACTGCTGCTCCTGCGGGTCCAGCTACTGCTGCTGCTGCTGCTGCTCCTGCGGCTCCAGCTGCTGCTGCTGCTCCTCCAGCCGCTGTAACTCCCTCTCCTCTCTCTCCAACGCCAGCTGCTCGTCACGGGCACGACGAACACGAGCCTGGTGCCTAGTCGGGTAGGGGTGGGGGGGCGGAGTAGTGTCCGAAGCAGCGGTAGCTCCAGAGTCCACCCCCGAAGAACCAGGCGCACCACCCCCAGAGGCAGCACTAACACCAGCTCCAGACCCAGGCTCACCAGAACCAGAAACTCCAGTGCCAACTCCAGCTCCAACTCCAGCTCCAACTCCAGCTCCAACTCCACCACCCCCAGAACCAGAAACCGGTACAGGAACAGGCGCAGCACCAACCTCTCGAGAGCTAGCACCTGCGGCACGCTGCGAGGAGGACTGTGGGGAGGGAGGCTGTACCGGAGAGGCTACCGAAGGAGGAGGGGTAGCCTGGGACACACCCGACGGGGCTGGACCAGGGGGGGGAGGCAGGGCGACGCGACGGGGCAGGGCGACGCGACGGGGCAGGGTGACGGGACGGGGCAGGGCGACGCGACGGGGCAGGGCGACGGGACGGGGCAGGGCGACGCGACGGGACAGGGCAACGGGACGGGGGGGAAAGGGCGGGCACGACGTGACGGGGGGAACGGGCGCGACGCGACGGGGGGAAAGAGCGCTAGGCGACGGGGGGAAAGGGCGCGACACGACGGGGGGGGGGGGGGGGGGGGGGGGGGGGGGGGGGGGGGGAAAGGGCGCTAGGCGACGGGGAGAAAGGGCGCTAAGCGACGGGGGAGAGGGCGCTAGGCTCGGTACTAGGCGCGGTAACAACGGAACCGGTACGAACGAGAGGTAGGATCAGGCTCGGGAGGGACGAACGGAGAACGGAGGAACGGGATCCCACAGGATCCTAACCTAGCTGATACCATGTCAAAATGAGGAATGATGATGCCATTGATGTTGGTTGGGGTACATATAACAAACCCTAACTTCTGTACCCCCTAAGACAAACCTCACTACAGGCTACAACATTTGACAGCGTAGGCCGACACGGCCGGGCCAGCAATGCAAGGTTTGGCAAAACAGTGCGCGCGAAGTTGGCGAAGTCCCGTTAGCAGTAACGGGCGAACAACAGCTGTTGCTGTACGTGATGTAGTCGAGCTCCGTAAGGAATGCCGAGAAAATTCCTTACATGCAACCAAAAGGCACCTCTTTTGTGTCGACTCAAAAGGTAACCCATGTCAAGGTGTTGCATCGTGGGAAGGAACAGCAGAGATGTGACGATTCAGATGTGCCTTACCCTGGGCAGAACACACAAACAATTGCGGGGTTGCGTATAAAATCTGTATAAATTTACGCGATTTTGTGGATTATAGCGGGCAAAACTTTGTAATATACACTTGTCTTGGAGCTGCTGGGATGAAACACTTCGGACATGTGAATGCTTCCAAAACATGGTTAGCTGGTCAGATCTTAGCTGTTGGCATCCACGTGCCGAAAGTATCTGCGTCTCCATTCAGCGGACTCGCAGGTATACCCACGCGTCTGACGCATTCAGCTTTCACCCTGCGCTCCGTGATTTGTGCGAAGTCGAACAGCTGCCAAGGGTTGTGAAGGCGCGCAGCAGGAAGGAGGAAGACGAGACTACCCACCAACTCTAATCCAATCCGCCCTGCAAATAAAAAGTTAGCTCATTGGAGTGTTAGACCAAATCAGAAACTCAGAAGCGGACACAGATTGAGTAATTACATCCTTTGGGAAAGCCTATCATTCACCATTCCGCACACCATAATTTAGAGAGTATCGTACCCCGGGTTCATTCAACTTTCACGATCATCGGAATGGCTCGAGCTGCGGTTTTCGCGCTCTCTCTCGCGCTGCTCCTCGTGGTGGCGCGCGCCGGCAGCCCCATCACAAGCCCAACGGCGAACGAGAAACCCGACCAGAGCAGCAAGAAGGATGACGGGCTCATGACCGAAATCCCCGCGGCCATCGCGAAGCAGGCGGCGGCGGGCAACGCGGAGGGAGTGACATACGTTGACACGGCGCAGGACACGTTCTTCATGGCTGATGTGAAGAAGGCTGGGTGGAACGCGCAGAAATGCCCGCCGGGTTTGAACAAGGAGCTGGCGGGCGCGTGCACGCCCAAGAATTGCTCAAAGGGCGGCATTCCCGCCAAGTGGAAGACGGCGTACCTGCAGAAGAACAAGCTCGGGTACGAGCTGTACGTGCCGGGTAACCCGCTCACGCTGCTCAAGGCCAACCCCGCGTCGTGCTGCAATACGTGCGCCGCGACGCCGGCTTGCACGTACTGGCAGTACATTCCCGATATTACCATTGACGGGAAGAAGGGCAAGGGCGCGTGCTACCTGATCCACGACCAGATCGACTTCACGTGCGGAGAGATGACCGCGCAGTACAGCACGGAGACGAAGCCCGTGCCGCTTCAGGTGCGCATCGGCGGCGAGTGCAACCCGAGCGCCAAGATTCTCAACGACCCGCATCTGGTGGGCGCGCACGGCACGCACTTCGACTTCAACGGCCGCCCCGACAAGGCCTTCTGCCTGCTGACGGACCGCGACCTGCACGTGAACATGCTGCTGCGCGGGTACTACGACGAGCGCACCGACAACGCGGCTCTCGTCGTCGACGGCAAGGCCGTGCACACGTGGATTAAGGAGCTCGGCATTGTGTGGACCGCCAAGGGCGTCGACCACAAGATTCGCATCGCGGCGCGCGGCGGCAAGCAGCAGGAGCGCGGCGATGGGTTCGTGAAGAGCATCGAGATTGACGGCGAGGCGATTCAGCGCATGCAGGTGGGCGACAGCGTGACGAGCGACGGCGGGCTGACGATTCAGTTCCGCGCGCTGGAGAAGGAGGGGCCGTTCGATGTGGATTACTACCTGCTGACGATCGACGGCCTGATTTCGCTCGACCTCCGCCTGCGCGTGGCGCACCCGAAGCTGCAGACGCCGAGCGACGCCGAGGCGCACATTAACGTTGGCATTGCGGAGCTGGAGCACACCGACGCGATCCACGGCGTGCTCGGTCAGACGTACCGCGACGACCACGCGCAGCGCGCCGCGGACTTCCAGAAGCTGATCGCGAGCCTGCACCGTCCAATCTCCGCCGACGGCGCGGAGGGACAAGGGTTCCTGGATGGCACGCCTCGTTCGTACGAGGCGAGTGACGTGCTTGCTGTGGACTGCGCTTATACCGCGTATGGGCGCGCCAGACAAGTGATGCCCGTGCAGGAGTTCCCCTAAATAGCGAGTTGCAGGTGTATCGTACGGTGGGCTGGATCTTATTTGGGACTTGGTTTGTGGTTATACGTCGATTTGCAAGCTAGCAGGCATTGAAATTGCCACCTTGATGTACACTATCAAAATTGAATTCAATTTATATTCTATACAGCTTGTTGTCATCTAGGTAGCTGAGCTGGCCAAGGTAAGGGACAATCTGATCAGACCTATCTAGTCCTTATTTGTGTTGTCAACGTTCCACTTCACTAGTAGTATCCGTCAGCCCCACCCAACCCTGTCACTCTAGCAACACCTTCATCAAGCAGACTTGTTAAAACCCGCGGGCCAAGAAGTTAAAGCTTAGGAAGCTTGGTTGGGAACAGATATGCCATTGGTACACGAAGGGACTGAAACGTCGAAAAGGTTGGACTGGAGAGCGCCTGCTGGATCCACTGCCGCCACTCCCCGACCTCCTCCTTCCGCCCCTCCCCTCCGCCTCCCGCCTCCGCCCCGCCTTCCCCTGACCCCCCGCCACCACCGCCCGCAATCTGATCCGCGCTGGCTGCTGCTGGGGCTGGGAGCGGGGCGAAGTGGAATGGCGCTGCAACGGGGAAGAGGGCGAGACGAGGAGAGGGATAGGCATGGTTGAATGAAAGGTGAGGTGCGAGATGGTGCGTAGTAAACTGAGAGGGAGGAGGGGGCTTAGAGCGCAATGAAGCCGCCAGCGATCTCATCAGCGTAAGGGATGCGCGCGGAGAAGGAACTGGTAAGGGGATGGCAGAGCGGAAAGGATGATGTCAGCATGATTGATGGCGGTGGGGTTTGAAGAGTTTGATCGATGGTTTGTAACGGGGACAAATGGATGCGATCGGACGGTCCAGAAACTCTCGAGGTACGCGGAGATCCCGAGGTGACGTCGGCAGGAGAAGATGACGTCACTCAAGCCACGATTCGCTGGCCTTCTCTCAAGCCGCGACGCGCCGACGTGGCAGCCGCCCGCCAGGCTAACTGAGAACAATGCGACAGCGCGAGTGTGCAGCGGGAAATGTGCTTGCGCGAGTGTGCCGTGGCGAATGCGACAGCGCGAGGGAGCAGCGGCGCATGCGACAGCGCGAGCGTGCTGTGGCGAAATGCCTAACGCGAGTGAGCCGCGGCGAACCCTCAATGTCACGAATGTTTCACACTCGTGCCGAGTGCGAGATGCGTCTTAGCAATCGTGGATATATGGGCAATGTAACCCTAAAGAATCTGGGCGCGACGCGCCATCGCATAGGATCTTGCTAAGGCCGTACGTGGTCGTCCCGATGGCATTAGATTGTACTTTATTCTCGTCATTAGTAGATTCCTAAGGCTTTGTGCGGCAATGTGGTTGCGTTGACGACAATGTTCACGCACCGGACGTTGTTATCGAGCTGCGCATATGTCCAGTGCGGTTTGTTGGCGAATAGCTCTTGCTCAGCGACTATAATAGTAGTTCTTAGATAGCGGGTCATGTTTGTTGAGGTTGGTGTTGGGCGATCTTTCCGTGCGATGTTCATAGGGCTGAAACGTCGTTGCTACAGTGCTTTGGGTTGGCGAAAGTTGAGTTTGGGCCTTGTGTGTTGACCTTGTTGGCCCCTGGTGGGAACCGGGTTACACCCAACCAAGGTTAGGAAGCTTGAACCAGTTTCGTGCTTCTTGACCCTCCGGTTTTAAGGGAAGAGTGCATCAACACTGCAATAGCTTCCCGGTCCATAGCTGCCACCACGTTTCTCGGGTCACTCTCTGGTCACCTTCACGGTTAAGCTTTCTTCTTCGAAACAGTGTTGTTGGGGGGAGAGTATTTCAAGACCGCCACGTCATCAACCATCACCGACCCGATCCACAACTTCCCCTTCTTCTCCACAACCTCGCTCGCTGCCACCACGTTCCGCCCCAGCTTATCCTCCAGCACGTCTGTGATCACCCCCTTATTGTCAACCTCCACTATAATCCCGTGCGACAGCCCCACCGCTGCCACGTAGGCAGCCTGCAGCCCTACCGGGTCGTTGAGCAGCCTGTATCGCGCGTAGGGGCTCCTTGCTAGGACCTCTGTGGGAGGAACAATAGAGAAGAAACATTTGGGTAAGATGGGGGGTGAAAATCAAGAAACAGCCCCACTAGGTTGCATGCAACCCCCACTGGGTAATGAGAAGCCTGTAGAGCGCATAGGGGCTCCTTGCCAGGACCTCTGTGGGAGGAACGAGAGGGATGCGGACAGAAAGGAGAAAGATCCCCAGGTGGGATGTGCCAGGACCTCTGTGTGTACGTAGGTGTTATCCTCCAGGTGTTATCCCCCAGGTACTTCCTGCCGTGTACCTGGCATGGTAACTCATCGGAACTTCTTGGCACACGCATGGGTGGATGGTAATCCAACGGGGGTGACTTTTGAGTCGACTCAAAAGTCACTTTTTGGCAAACGCACGGGTGGTAATCCAATGGGGGTGCATTGCAGGTGCATGACACAAGGAGGCTGGCTGCTACGTACCGGACATGGGAGTTCGTCTCGAGTTGATTGCGATCCAGAATCGTCCCCTGGGGTTGAGGCTCACGTTGTCAGGATACCCGGGCAGGTTTACAAACATTTCAGCCTTGCCCATCTTTGGCCCTCGGATAAAGTACCGATGACACCTGCATGACCAAAAGGTTGGCTCAGCATTGGAATGTGAGAGAGAAGGTCGAACAATGGGAGAGTAATGGAACGTGAAGTGGCACAGCGTGCAACTAAGAACCTTTTGGCATGTTCCTTTCCCTGGAAAAATAAGAGAAGAGTCGTGAAGCATCAAGGCCAGGGTACCACCAGTCATCAGAACACAAGCAGAGCACAGTCCCTCACCGCATGTGGCTGGTTTCACACAACACCAAGAACGTGCGGTTGCGGGAGAGTGCAACACCACTTTTGAGGCGCCTCAAAAGCAGTCACAGTCACAGTCACAATCACAGTCGAGAGTGCAACACCACTTTTGAGGCGCCTCAAAAGCAGTCACAGTCACAGTCACAATCACAGTCACAGTCACAGTCACAGTCGTCACAGTCACAGTCACAGTCACAGTCACAGTCACAATCACAATCACACAGTCACAATCACAGTCACAGTCACAGCCACAGTCACAGTCACAGTCACAGTCACAGTCACAGTCACAATCACAGTCACAGTCACAATCACAGTCACAGCCACAGTCACAGTCACAGTCACTATCACAGTCACAGTCACTATCACAGTTACAGCCACAGTCACAGTCACAGTCACAGTCACAGCCACAATCACAGTCACAGTCACAGCCACAGTCACAGTCACAGTCACAATCTCACAGTCACAATCACAGTCACAGTCACAATCACAGTCACAGTCACAGTCTTAATCACAGTCTTAATCACAGTCACAATCACAGTCACAGTCACAGCCATAGTCACAGTCACAGTCACAGTCACAATCACACAGTCACAATCACAGTCACAGTCACAATCACAGTCACAGTCACAGTCACAGTCACAATCACAGTCACAGCCACAGTCACAGTCACAATCACAGTAACAGTCACAGTCACACCCAGTCACAATCACAGTAACAGTCACACTCACAGTAACAGTCACAGTCACAATCACAGTCACAATCACAGTAACAGTCACAATCACAGTAACAGTCACAATCACAGTAACAGTCACAATCACAGTAACAGTCACAGTCACAGTCACAATCACAGTCACACCCACTCACCTCACATAGCCAGTTTCACAAGCACAGTTCCTCACCGCATGTAGCTGGTTTCACAGAAGACCACTAAGGTGCGGTCGCGGGAGATTGCAACGCCATTGGCGAACGCCACCCCCTTCACCACCACCTTGGTTGTCCCTGCACCTCGTGTACCTCTTTTCAGAATCGCTCACCGCATGTAGCTGGTTTCACAGAAGACAACAAACGTGCGGTCACGGGAGATCGCAACACCATTGGCGAACGCCACCCCCTTCACCAGCACCTTGGTCTGCCCCGTTGCAATGTCGTATTGCATAAATCTCCCGTCCGGCTGCCCTTCCAGTGTTGCCAGGAAGAAATCCCTGCAGGGAGTAGCGGTACGGGGAGGAGGTTTATAGACGAGTGGGGAACAGGTTGGCGGAGCTTTTGAGTCGACTAGAAAACCTTCCAGTGTTGCCAGGAAGAATGGAAGGTTTTCTAGTCCCTGCAACACTGGAAGGTTTTCTCGTCCCTGCAACACTGGAAGGTTTTCTCGTCCCTGCAACACTGGAAGGTTTTCTAGTCAGACTCAAAAGCTAAAAACCCTGCTTTTGAGGCACTCTCTTCCAGGCAACACTGGAAGGTTTTCTGTTCCCCATTCACTAGAAACCCTAAATCCCTGCAGAGAGTAAGGCACGGGGAGGAGATTTAAGACGAGAGGGGCACAGGTTGGTGGGGGGAGAGCGGGTGGATGGGAATTATGGAGAGTACAAAGGGTCTGCAGAACGCTACTCCCTTCACCGGGACATTCGCTGCCCCCGTTGCAATGTCTTATTTCTCCTTGAGGCGCCTGAAACATGTCCCAAGTCAATGCAAGGCAACTCACTTGCGCTGCCAGCGAGTGCTCCCATCGGTGAAGTAAACCACCCCGTTCTTCCCGTCCGCGTCAACATCAAGGTCGTGGGTCATCAGCATGCGCTTCCCCACCACCACATTCCAAGCCAGTGGAATAAAACGTGCATCCGAACTCACTTTCTTTGCCACCGGGTGCTCCCATCAGTAAAATACACGACGCCATTCTTCCCGTCCGCGTCAACATCAAGGTCGTTGGTCATCAGCATCCGCTTCCCCGCCACCACATTCCAAGCCAGTGGAATAAAACGTGCATCCGAACTCACTTTCTTTGCCACCAGGTGCTCCCATTAGTGAAATACACGACGCCATTCTTCCCGTCCGCGTCAACATCAAGGTCGTTGGTCATCAGCATCCGCTTCCCCGCCACCACATTCCAAGCCAGTGGAATAAAACGTGCATCCGAACTCACTTTCTTTGCCACCAGGTGCTCCCATTAGTGAAATACACGACGCCATTCTTCCCGTCCGCGTCAACATCAAGGTCGTTGGTCATCAGCATGCGCTTCCCCGCCACCACATTCCAAGCCAGTGGAATAAAACGTGCATCCAAACTCACTTTCTTTGCCACCGGGTGCTCCCATCAGTGAAATACACGACGCCATTCTTCCCGTCCGCGTCAATATCAAGGTCGTTGGTCATCAGCATGCGCTTCCCCGCCACCACGTCCACCAGCCTCTCCGCCTTGCCCCCGCCCGGCCCTACTCTGTGCAGCCCAAAGTAGGCGTCTGCGAAGTAAAGGTCGCCCGTGACTGGGTGGAAGCGCAGACCCAAGGGACGCCCGCAGATGGGCTCCATGCTGCTGTTGGTGGTCCTGCTGCCCTGACACCGCTCCTTGGACCTGGTGGGGAGAGGAGTGGTGGGGGGAGGAGTGGTGGGGGGAGGAGTGGTGGGGGAGGAGTGGTAAGGCTATGGGTCATGCACAAGTGAGTGCGCCGTCGGCCTGCCAAAGCCAGCTTCTCCGCCCCTCCCCCCGCCCGGCCCTACTCTATGCAGCCCAAAGTAGGCGTCTGCGAGGTAAAGGTCGCCCGTGACTGGGTGGAAGCGCAGACCCAAGGGACGCCCGCAGATGGGCTCCATGCTGCTGTTGGTGGTCCTGCTGTTGGCCTGACGTCGATCCTTGGACCTCCGAAGGAGGAGTAGAGAGAGGGGACACGTGGTGAGTGAGAGAGGATTTGCCTGTGAGACGTCTCGAAGGGCGCCCACCGATGACTTTTGAGGCGCCTCAAAGGGCGGGTGGTGAGTGAGAGAGGATTTGCTTGTTAGACGTCTCAAAGGGGGCCCACAGATGGGCTCCATGCTGCTGCTGCTGCTGCTGTAGCCCTGACACCGATCCTTGGACCTGGGGGGAAAGGGGGTTGGTGCGCGGTGAGAGGGTCCCACGAATGACAGGGGGTGTCAGGGAGGTGCGACGACGTGGGTAAGTTCCTCTCAAGAGTCTTTGAGTGTTTTGAGACGTCTCAAAACACGTGATCATAAAAGCGTTTCGAGATGTCTCAAAACACGAATGAAAGGGGGTGTCAGGGAGGTGTGACCACGTGAAGAAGTTACTTTCCAAGAGTCTCCCATCACATGTGTTGTCCTGGTTTGGACCGCCTCACAACCCGGCCGTCGCTCAATGACGCGTACCCAACACATCGACACTTATCACTAGCAAGACGCCCTTTCAAGATTTTGCGGGGCTCACCACTTGGGGGAAGCCCACGCGAATGTCTCCCATCGCATGTTGTCTTTGGACCGCCTCACAACCCGGCCGTCGCTCACAGACGCGTACGGGCCGCGGCCAGTTCCGTCCCATGCCAGACTCTCCGGTCCTGTTGCTTGTCCTGTGTACCTGCGGAGCGCAACGGAATAATCAGCACGCCCGAATGACTTGATGGAATCATTCCAAATGAACACGTAAGCAGGCCCGTAAGCGATTCTTGAGGCGCCTAAAAATCGCCTCCAAACACGCCCGGGTGACTTTATTGCATGATTCCAAATGCTGCTCTGTCCCATTCGAGCGTAAGCAAGCCCGTCAGCCTGCCTTGGGTAGCGGCGAATAAACGAAATGTTGGCACGGGTACAGCAGTAAGGTTGTGAGACCTCTGAAAGTACCGGTTCCAACCAAACGTCTGTCTTGGTCGTAACTGCCAGGAAAACGGGAGTTGTTCCCAGGTGACTTCTGAGTCGACTCAAAATTCACCACGACAACTAAATGTTGGTGCCAGATATGTTCAACACAAAAGCTTCGACGGAGCTGCAATGTATCGAAATCTCTTTAAAGTAGCTGCTTCGTTACATGCCTACGCACCTTCGTTCCGCGAGAGCGAGACGGTTCTCGCTGTCAAACTTTAGGGTTAGCGGAGCTAACGGGATGGATGCCGGCTTGAACTTCGTAGGGTCAACTGTGGGAAGCTCTACAGTTGTAGTCGCCACGACGCCATGAGGGATGGGCTGGAGAATAACTAGTAAACAGAGAGAGAGGAGAACGATATTGGAAGAGCCTCGCCACATTCTGTTTTGGAATCGATCAGCTGCTTGAACCGGAGTGTCCTTCGTGCAGAAGCTCTCGATAAGACGACAACCAGCTTGGCGATGCCTTGGCAATGCCTTGCGCACAGCTTCGTGACCTGGAAAAGGCAGAAGCGTAGATAGAAAGGAGGTAGATGGTCGATGCTACATGGCAGCTGTTAGCAAATCCGTTCGGGTAATCAAGGTGCTCAGAAGTTCATCCAACGGTGACGCGCGTCACGGGATGGAGACTGTCGGTTTCGAATCTCGATTTGTCGGCAAGGCCTTGGAGTTTGGGGGGAATCTGACTGGCTGGGTCCACCAATTTGCTTCGAACCGCATTCCCGAAATGCGAGGCAGCATTCTTCGCGCGCGCTCCCATGAAGTCGGCTGGTTTGAAGCGCCGCGGGAATTGTGGTGGTGGTGAGGTTTGACAGCAACGGCATCGCTGCAGTCATATTCTCAACAGATTACAAGCGCGTTTACACATGTTGCGTGACTCGTACCTGATCAGTGTTGAAATTTACCATACACAATGAGTTGTCAATGTTAATCCACAACAGCTTCATATGCGCTCAACAGATTGACAAAACAAGCAAGCCTATGTAAGTTAATTATTTGCAATAATGATATTGCTAGTCCTAGACTGTGCAGCGCCATCAAGCTTATCTTTTTCCTAACAGAGAACCACTATGGCCACTTGAGGGTGGCAATATAGTCCTCAATAACTGAGCCTATCCACAGTTTCCCATCATGCTCCACGATCTCACTCGCATCCTTCACCACCTTCCCGTTCTTGTCCTCGAGCAAGTTGGTGATTTTGCCATCAGCATCTACCTCCACCACAATGCCACTGGCCCTCTGGTCCTGTGTGGCCTTCACAATCTTGTACCCAAGCTTGTTTTCCACAAATGTCTCTCGGATGAAAGGGGTTTGGGATGCAACAGCTGTGGGAGTGGAGGGATGAAGGGAAGGGAGAAACCGGATTGCATGATTGGGTCGAGCATGAGGACACACAGACGAGCAGGTACAAAACTGAGCCACACTGGTGACAATGAAGAGCAACAGGATGAGATGAGACTGAAGACTAAGGGGTGGGTGCTGAGGGGTGAAATTAGGTTTCACAATTGTCAACTCCAGGACGTACTTGCAGTGGGAGACCTCCTCGAGTTGAGTGCGATCCAGAACCTTCCTCTGGGGTTGAGACTGAGGTTGTCAGGGTATCCGGGTAAATTCACAAACACCTCCTTTTTCCCTGCCTTTGGGCCTCGGATCCAGTATCGGTGGCACCTGAAAGAACGAAGAGGATGAAATAAGGAGGTGTACGTGAACTGGCATGTACACTCTCTATAAAAACAATTAAGAATCGCACACATCAACAGCCAGCAGCGCACCTGAGATAGGTTGTTTCGCAGTACACCACAAACGTCTTATCCTGCGAAATCGCCACGCCGTTAGCAAACGCCACTTTCTCGTCAATCACCGTCGTCACGCCGCTCGCGATGTCGTACTTCATGAACCGTCCGTCCTTCCGGCCTTCCAGCGTGAGCGGCAGAAAATCTCGCCGGTACCAACGCGAGCTGCCGTCCGTGAAATACACGACATTCGCGTCGGCGTCAATATCTAGGTCATTCGTCATCATGAATTTTCTGCTGTCTAATGCGGAGACGAGCTTCGTAGCCTGCCCTCCCGCGGCGCTGACTTTATGCAGGCCGAAATACCCATCCGCGAAATAGAGGTCCCCGGTAGTGGGGTGAAACGCCAGGCCGAGCGGCCGCCCGCAGGTGGTTTCCAGATCCGGGTTGGTTTTCTTTGAGTTACATTTCGCCGCAGTTCGCAGCGGCGACGCGTACGTGAACTCCTCCCAAGCGCTGTCGTCGTCCGTGCGTCGCATGATTCGCCCGTCGCTGAAGCTGACGTACGGGCCCTTGCCATTAGGGTCCCACGCGATACTCTCCGGGCCTGCCATCTCGCCCTCATACCTGGAGAGAGGGGGGGACAAAAAGGGTTGTTTTTCAGTCTACCTCCTGGCATTGTCACATGGCACAGATTCTGACGCGTCTCGAAGGTCCCACGCTGTTCTTCCTGGGCTTGCGAGTGCGGGGCTCGTATGTGGGGAGTGAGGGGGACCGGGGGCCGAAAGGTGGTGAATGGAGGTCACCCACCTCGTAAGGGTGAGGGAAATATGCGGGACGATGAAAGTGGTGGAGAATGGACTAGATTACAAGTGCCGCAGAATCTTTCACGTGTTCGCGGATTCACGTGTTCGCGGATTCTGGCGCTCGAAAAAGAGGTTTGGGTTGGTGGGAAAGGGTGGTTGGGTGAATAGATGGGAGGTTTGGTGGCGGGACGGAAACGCAGGGGTTTATGCAGGTTAATTATACAGTTTCTTGTGACCCTTACAATGATGATAAACCTATACGAGAAGCCAGAAAGGCAAATCACCGCGTAATAGCCTCACGTCAGAACAAGAGGAGCGCAAAGGATAGGGTTCTCGTGCAATTCTCTTCTTTTGTACTTTTCCACAAGGGAAATTAAATTCTTGTTTTAAGAAAGGCAAAAAGACGGCGCTTACCTCTTGGTGGCTCGTGCGAGTCGGTTCTTCTTGTCCGTCTTTGGGAAGAGCTTTGCAGGAGGAAGGTTCACTCGCGCGGCCTTGAACTTTTTGGACCACCGCTTTGTCAGCCCCGCCTCGGCATTCCCAAGACTGCCCAGCGCCACTAGCGCAACGAACGAGCATGCTAGGAGCAACGGCCCGCTAATACGGCTCGCCATGAGGTATTCAGCAGAAAGGTGGTGTGTCTACTTGGAACTTTTAGGCGCCTTATAAAGATCAAGATTCACGCAAGAAGGGGGTATGTCTGCTTTGAGGATACCAAGCGATGTGGAGACTGGAAGCTCCAGATAAGTTCCTGACGCTATCACTAGAACTGTGATGCGATGAAACGTCCCTTATTTCTGTCGTTTACAATGTCTTGATGCTCGTCGATAGGCCACAATGCTTCACTTGTTATTTGCGCGACGACAGTCTGGGTCTACAGACAGCTCCAGTTGGCAGTGCGGCAAATGGACACGATTAGATGGGTTTCCGTCTGCGGTGCCGATAATATAGTGAGGCAGCGACGAAATACATGTACTGGCGTGAATGATGGATGCCAATCCCAACGTTTCCGCAAATGTTTCAGTTCCCACCTTCGATGGTTGTGAAAGTTTGGTCTGTTCCCCCTCACCTCCGACATCCATTGAATTTCAGTTTTTAGAAAGCTGCAAGTGAATTTTGGCGGGGAGGATAGGAGTTGGTACGGTGCGCACTTTTGAGTAGGGGGGGGCTGGGAGGATGATTGTGTTCCGTGAGATCGAGACGCGAGCGGTCCGAGTTTCGGAATTTACGGATTGGTCGGCCAAAGCAATGTCGGTGCGAGACTCGACGCAGTACTCGACGCGGTACGCTACACAAAGTGACTGGCAACCTCGGGAGACAACGTTTCTGATACGAGATTTACCGGTAGTTGGAAGTTAGATATCCTTGTGATCAAATTACCTTGCGTTATAGTTCACTGTACCAACAAAGTCGTTGACAACAGAACCTAGCCATAGCTTTCCTTCTCTTTCCACAACCTCACTTAGCTGCTTGATTTTTTTGCCATTTTTGTCCTCGAGAATGTCAGTTATCTTCCCATTTGTATCCACCTCAACTAATACTCCACTTGCTAGGCGCTCTGACGTTCCCTTGGCAAAATTGTAACCAGCCTGTTGTTTCAGCACTGCACCTCTAATGATTGGAGTCCGCATAAGTAATGCTGCCAGAGCCAAATTGCACGAGGTGGAGAAAGAGATCGAGGGGAAATGAAGGGTTGGGTGAGAAGGGTCAAGAGTTTGGAAATAGGTCAGAAGGGTTGAGGAGATTGATTGGATCACGCACTGAACTTACCTAGTCGAGTCTCCGTGCTGCTGAATAGAGGGCTATCAGTGTCAAACACCTTATAGCCATTCTAATGCGTGCATATGGTAACACCTACCTCACCTCCTTGCAACATCACAGCAAGACCATACTCAAACCAGGTGCACACATGCAACAACAGCCACGTCTCAACCAATCGCCTTCCAAACCATGCAGCTCCCAAAAAAAACCAACAGGCCATGCAACGTTCATGGAGAACGTTTGGGTCGTGGTGACTTTTGAGTCGACTCATATGTCACCTCGAACCATGCAGCTCCCAGAAAAAATCCAAGCGCCACACAACGTTCACGGAGAACGTTTGGGTTGTTGCACGCACATCAAACTGGTCCCGAAGGCCTCACCCTTCATGTGCGAGTTTCGAGGCGCCTCCGAAAAAATTGAGGAGCGTCAAGACTTTTTGGGGCACCTCAAAAGCCCCAAAGGCCTCACCTGTTACAAGCGAGTTGCGGGAGTTGAGTGCGATCCAGAACCTTCCTCTGGGGTTGAGGCTGAGATTGTCAGGGTATCCAGGGAGCTTCACAAACAGCTCCTTCTTTCCAGTCTTTGGGCCTCGAATCCAGTACCTATGGCACCTGAAGCATGGAAGCGAGAGGGAAGGAGAGCGGATGCGGACGAGGGGATGGGGAGGGATGGAAATGGAGAGGAGAGGAAATGGAGAGGAGAGAGGGGAGGAAGTGGGTTGGAAAAAGGCATGGATATGACATGGCACGGACCAAGCAGGAAACCGAAAGGAGGAATGCAGAGAGGTGCAAACAAGAGCAGATGAAGCCAGAAAGGGTTCAAATCAGGAGCCGATAACAATGCAGGCTGACAAAAAAGAATCCACCGTTACAGCCCACCTGAGGTAGGTCGTTTCACAGAAGACGACAAACTTCTTATCCTGTGAAAGCGCAACGCCGTTTGCAAACGCGACCTTGTTCACAAGCACAGTGGTCTTGCCCGTGCCGATGTCATACTTCATAAAACGCCCGTCCTTGCGCCCCTCCAGGAGCAGAGGGAGGAAGTCTCTGCCAACAAAAATGCATACGTATGTGTATTTGTATGTGAACATATGCGTATGAAGGTATTGACCTTGTCCACAAGCACAGAAATCTTGCCCGTGCTGATATCACACTTCATGAACCGCCCGTCCTTGCGCCCTTCCAGCAGCAGAGGGAGAAAGTCCCTGCCTCCAGGTATGGGTATGAATGTGCATATATATGAATCTGTACATGGGCACACTTCATGAACCGCCCATCCTTGTGCCCTTCCAGAAGCAGAGGGAGGAAGTCCCTGCCTCCAGATTCACAAGGCACATGCACAGATGCATACACCCCTCTAAGGCACGATTCTATGCTCTGCCTGTGTGTGTGCAGATCTGTTACCCCCTCACCTGTGAGCTCATCGGGAGCTGCTTCCCCCCCCCCCCCCCCCACCTGCGAGCCCATGGTGAGCTGGAGTCAGTGAAGTAGACCACATTAGCGTCAGCATCAATGTCCAGGTCGTTGCACATCATCATGCGCGTCCCATCCACCACATCCACCAACTTCGTCGCCTGCCCGCCGCTGCTGCTCACCTGGCAAGAATGATATTGACCATAAGATCTTGATCCAAGGTGAGAATGCGCTTCTAGGTGAGGAACAGAAGAACAGGCAAAGAGGAGAAATGAAACCGACGGGAAAAAGTCATGCACAAACAGAGTGATGCAGATCTCCTAGGCACATGGATTATGGATACATGCACATAATCATGCGCCATCCATGCCATCTGTGCCACCCGTGCCATTCATCCATATCGCCCTCCTGCTCTACTCATACACCAGTTTACCATCCCCAATTGACATGACACGTGCAAAATCACCGAGGCTCGTGAGACTTCTTATATCGAGGACAGAGTGTTTCTCACCTTGAAGAGCCCGTAGTAAGTGTCAGCAAAGTACAGGTCCCCCGTGGTCGGGTGAAATGCCATTCCCACCGGCCGGCCGCATTTGTCCTCTAGTGCGAGCTTCGCGGTACGCGAATCGCAGATTGCCGAGGTCCTTGCAAAAGATAGTGACAGTAACGAGGGTGGGAAAGATGGATGGGCAAGGAAGAAAAATCACACTCACGTATGACTCGTCCCCATTTGAATCTCGATTTCCCCACAAAAAATCACAACACGTTGAACTGAGGAAAATAGAACCTGTGGGGCGAGGTATAAGTGAACTCCTCCCACCCAGCCACTTGTGGGGCGGACTTGTGTCGTCTGCCTTTCTCCTGAGAACGCACCCATCTCTCACACTCACATACGGCCCTTGCCCCTCCACCCTCCCCCCTCCCCCACTCGCTTTTTGAGGCTCCTCACAAACCTCAAACCCTAAAAGCTTCCCAGTACCTGTGCAGGAGCAAGGGTACCAGTGCAGCAGCAAGGGTACCAGTGCGGCAGCAAGGGTACCAGTGCGGCAGCAATGCGCGGTACCTGTGGGGCGAGGCATAGGTGAACTCCTCCCAGTCACTGCCGTCCGTCTTCCTCCTGAGAATGCGCCCGTCGCTCACACTCACGTACGGTCCTCGCCCGCTCGGGTCCCATGCTATGCTCTCAGGCCCTGTGGCCTGACCCACGTATCTGAGAATTCGGGACGAGGGGAGGCAGGGGCGAAAAGGGAGGTGGTTGCGGTAAGCAGGGTGGTAGGCGTCCTATCCGCCCATCACTCACGTACGCCCCTCGCTCACTGGGGTCACACACTTTCCTCTCAGGCCCTGTGGCCTGACCCACGTACCTGGTCATATGAAAAAGGAGGATAAGATTATGGGAGGCAGGGAGAGAGTGGGGAGGGAGACGGAAAGTACGCGGCTTTGATCAACTAAGATCATTCGACTAACCCGGGACAGCTAAAGATACCACACTCAACCTCCAACAGATACGACAAATTAAGGAAAACCAAGTTCAGCTGAGGCCTTTTAAGAACATTTACCGGCGGGTGGTCTTGGCGAGTCGATTCTTTTTGTCTCCCATCCCGCCAATCAGCTTCGGTAGCGGCACGCGCACGCGAACCGGCCGAAACTTCTTGGCCCAAGAGGTCCGACGCGCTGAAACGGCGCGTACAGGACCGTCGGGAAAGAGCGACGGGAGAAATATGATAGAGAGGACGAGAAAGAGTCGGGAAACGTGAGGGTAGCGACCGGAGGGCCTCTGATGCTGAAGGTGTCGTTTTGCTAACTGCTTCAGTGATTTTGCTGAATGTCGTCGTGGCACCTCTAAACAAAACGGTCGCTTCGTCAATTGATGCTGTCGCGGCCGTCCGGGACACTGTCGAATGGCTGGAAGAGTGCGACACGATGTCATGGCGAAGTCCAAGAGACCTTAGGGCGGGTTATATTCTGAATGAATCTTATTCTCTCATTCCTCCTCAGGCCGCACGGCTGAAACGGAAAGCCTTGACGCGGGCTGGATATTTATATGGTGCTAGCAGCAGAGACGGATCTACTTCGCCGCAGCGCGGAATCATCCATGGAGTGTGGTGAACTGTACAATAATTGGTACAGAGGTGTCGGTGTCAGTGTGCAGAATACGCGATAAGAGTCAAGATTTGGGGACATGATCTTGCAGACGCACAGAAAACACAAGGCATATGTACACCCTCTTTCTCGCCATTGTGCATTAGGTTATAATTAAGTCAAGATGGGAGAAACACGGTAAACGGAGGTTAAATCGCGTTTTGGTATGGTACAAGCATAATTTTCCACCTGTTCGGCACAGTTCAGTGTAGCGAGAAACAGTGTACTTGATGAAATGAAGTTTGCCTGAGAAACTAACTTAATTTCCCAAGAGCACTGAGGTTAAAACTGATTTATCGGGGCGAGTATTACTGGAATGCACGGCAGACACGAAAAATGTTTGTTAAATTTAATCAAAACAATGATGGTATAGTACACAGATATAAGTCTAGTGGTTGTTACTAGATGCAAGTGATCCAGCCCACTGTACGATACACTTGCAATCAGCTCTTCACGGAAACTCCTGCACGGGCATCACCTGCCTAGCGCGCCCATACGCGGTATAAGCGCAGTCCACAGCAAGTACGTCGCTCGCCTCGTACGAACGAGGCGTGCCATCCAGGAACCCTTGTCCCTCCGCGCCATCGGCGGAGATGGGACGGTGCAGGCTCGCGATCAGCTTCTGGAAGTCCGCGGCGCGCTGCGCGTGGTCGTCGCGGTACGTCTGCCCGAGCACGCCGTGGATCGCGTCGGTGTGCTCCAGCTCCGCAATGCCAACGTTAATGTGCGCCTCGGCGTCGCTCGGCGTCTGCAGCTTCGGGTGCGCCACGCGCAGGCGGAGGTCGAGCGAAATCAGGCCGTCGATCGTCAGAAGGTAGTAATCCACATCGAACGGCCCCTCCTTCTCCAGCGCGCGGAACTGAATCGTCAGCCCGCCGTCGCTCGTCACGCTGTCGCCCACCTGCATGCGCGGAATCGCCTCGCCGTCAATCTCGATGCTCTTCACGAACCCGTCGCCGCGCTCCTGCTGCTTGCCGCCGCGCGCCGCGATGCGAATCTTGTGGTCGACGCCCTTGGCGGTCCACACAATGCCGAGTTCCTTTATCCACGTGTGCACGGCCTTGCCGTCGACGACGAGAGCCGCGTTGTCGGTGCGCTCGTCGTAGTACCCGCGCAGCAGCATGTTCACGTGCAGGTCGCGGTCCGTCAGCAGGCAGAACGCCTTGTCGGGGCGGCCGTTGAAGTCGAAGTGCGTGCCGTGCGCGCCCACCAGATGCGGGTCGTTGAGAATCTTGGCGCTCGGGTTGCACTCGCCGCCGATGCGCACCTGAAGCGGCACGGGCTTCGTCTCCGTGCTGTACTGCGCGGTCATCTCTCCGCACGTGAAGTCGATCTGGTCGTGGATCAGGTAGCACGCGCCCTTGCCCTTCTTCCCGTCGATCGTAATGTCGGGGATGTACTGCCAGTACGTGCACAGCGGCGTCGCGGCGCACGTGTTGCAGCACGACGCGGGGTTGGCCTTGAGCAGCGTGAGCGGGTTACCCGGCACGTACAGCTCATACCCGAGCTTGTTCTTCTGCAGGTACGCCGTCTTCCACTTGGCGGGAATGCCGCCCTTGGAGCAATTCTTGGGCGTGCACGCGCCCGCCAGCTCCTTGTTCAAACCCGGCGGGCATTTCTGCGCGTTCCACCCGGCCTTCTTCACATCAGCCATGAAGAACGTGTCCTGCGCCGTGTCAACATATGTCACTCCCTCCGCGTTGCCCGCCGCCGCCTGCTTCGCTATGGCCGCGGGGATTTCGGTCATGAGCCCGTCGTCCTTCTTGCTGCTCTGGTCGGGCTTCTCGTTCGCCGTCGAGCTTGTGATGGGGCTGCCGGCGCGCGCCGCCACGAGCAGCAGCGCGAGGGAGAACGCGAGAAGAGCAGATCGTGCCATTATGGCGCTCCTGAAAGTTAAATGTATCTGGGGAACGATACTCTCTGAATTTGTGTGGGAAATGGATGGATGAAATGCTACTCCGAAGGATGTAAATACCTAATTTGTGTCCTGTGTTGCTGCGTTGCTGAGTTGGTCTGAATCTCTTCAATGGCTGGACTTCTATTTGCGAGACAAATTGGGTTGGAGATGGTGTGTCGCCGAATTGTCCTTGCTGCGCTGCGGGCCTTCCCAAATGTTGCTGCAGCTGTTCGAGATGGCACAAATCACGAACCGCAGGGCGAAACCGGAATGCATCTGACATCTGGACTTTCCTGCGGCTTCGCTGAATGAAGACGCAGATGTATGTGTCACGTGGATTCTAGCAGCTCATAACTGTGCCAGGTAACCATGTTCTGATTGCTTCTACAGTGCCGATTTGTTTCATCTCCAGGGTTCTGCCCCTAGATTTACCTTCAAAGATACACGACATCATACACTCCCCAGCAATCGTTTGTGTTCTGCCCACGGTTCGACTTATCTGAATGGGTGCAGGTGTGGCCTTTGTCTGGAGAGTTGGTTCGATCGACAGTACAGATGCACGATGCAATCACGCAACACCTGGCCCTGGATATGGGCTTTCTACCAGTCAAACATTCGTTTGCTATTCGCTAAGAACATTGTGCGATGTTCTGATGGCAGTAGTCCATAACAAGATCTTTTCGAACTTGATATCTAAACATTTATCCTTGTATGATTTTCTCTATTGCAGTATGCGTGTTTCTACGCCTCATATTAGGCAACCTTATGACGCGGTTCAAGTGCTCGATCGGGGGATATTGATCCGATCACCGCACTGAAACACCCCTGTTTCATACGAAAGGTACACAACCGTTTACAACCGCCCCAAAAAGATGAGCCCAGGGCAATCGATTCTCCACTTTTACCGCGCCCTTATATCAGACTTGCCTGGTCAAGCTAGCAAATGATTTCAAGTCTAGAGAAATTTTCAGCGTGAGCCTGATATGAGGTACGCTTAATATGAGGCGTAGGAACACAGTTTATGTTGAGTACAATGCAGAACTGGCATTTCCATGATGCTTTGTTAAATAGTAAGGGAAAGGCAACACTGTGCTTCTTCGTACAGCCATGGCTTACTACAGAAAAGAATATCAAACTAGTGCACTGACATCAACTGATCTTTTTTTTTGGACCAACCATAAAAAACCCAGTCTAAGAGCTTATTCCTGCAGCCTCATATCAGGCCACCTCGTATCAAGATTGTACATTTTGCCTGGTAAAACCAGCGAGAGGTTTTGGGTTTATAAGATTTTTCAGCGTGAACCTGATACGAGGCTCGCTTGATACGAAGTTAGGATCACGGTCTAAGCCGGCGGCATGGCCCCATAACTAAACACCCCGCTACGATCAAATCTGCTAGAATCAAACGACGCATCCAAGCCCTCCTCATATCCCCCCTCACCCCTCTCACCTCCACCACCTCCCTCACCAAATCCCTCTCCTGCTCTGTATTCTTGATGAGGAGCAGCAACACCACCGCCACCACCAATTCCACCTGCATTCCCACCACTTGCGCCTGCTACAATGTCACCTTCTCCAGTTGCGCCCCCCCCAGCAGCTGCCGACGCCCCTCAGAAGGCGGCAACTAGTGCAGGTTTCATCTGCACGCCTACGTCGTGACTCACAACATAAGCTCTGCCAGTGCTTCTTGGATCATTTGGACCTGTTGGAACACAAGCACCATCAAGCTCTCTATCCCTCATATCCCGGATATCCCCACCAGTGGCCTCAGCAGCACCTGCTGCTGCTACCCCTGCTGCTCTGCCCTTGAATGCTGGGGGTCCCGGTGTTCTTTTCGAGGATGGAGGAGGAAGAGGCGCATAACAAGCAGGGGTGGGTTGCGGTTGAGAGCGGTTAGGAGGGATAGGGGGGTCTGGGGTGAGAGGAGAATCACCAGCGTCAGAACGAGAAGGAGAGGCAGAGCTGATTGCTGCAGCCAATGCTGCACCTGCGGTACCTCCCACTGCCAAACCTTCCACCCCCGAGCCTGCTGCCGCCGAACCTGTCCCCCCTTCTCCACCACCCTGCCCCACCTGCTTCCTAGCTCCTGCAAACCGCGTCAGCCCCGCCCCACCCGGGCCAGCTCCCGAGCCTGACGGCACGGTACGGAAGTCTGCCGAATCATGAGACGGCGGTCCGGAGGAAATGAAGCGGGAAATCGCCTCCGGCTAAAGAACAACCTCTAGCTCAGCCACAACTCGGGACATGGAGGGGCGGGCGGTAGGGTTCTGGATGTCGGTGCAGCGAAGAGCGAGGTCAAACACGTGGTGCAGCTCGTCTGTAGGGTACAGCCCCATGGTTGGGTCTACGATGGATGGCAGACCCCCTGTGTCAAACCTGTCCTTTACCTGGGAAGGGTGGAGGGAGGAGAGAAAGAAAGGCGGTTTAGGGGTGTTGGAAGTGGTTGAGTACGGTACATCGCAAGACAGCAGGGTTCTGGATGTCGGTGCAGCGAAGGGCGAGGTCAAAGACATGGTGCAGCTCGTCTGCAGGGTAAAGGCCCATAATTGGGTCCACTATGGATGGTAATCCCCCTCTGTCAAACTGATCCTTCACCTGGGGAGGAGGGAAGGAGAGAAAGGCATTTTACGGGTCATTAGAGCTGTTGACTGCGGTGCAGCTTATCTGCAGGGCACACCCCCATGGTTGGGTCTATGATGGATGGTAGACCCCCTTCGTCAAACCGATCCTTCACTGGGAAGGGTGGAGAGGGATGAAGGCGGTTTAGGGGAGTTCGAAGTGATTGACTGCGGTACAACGCAGCGCAACGGGGTTCTGGATGTCAGTGCAGCGTAGTGCAAGGTCGAAGACGTGGTGCAGCTCGTCTGCAGGGTACAGCCCCATGGTTGGGTATATGATGGATGGTAGACCTTTATCAAACCGATTCTTTGCGTGGGGAAAGGGAACGGGAGAAAGGCGAGTTTGTAGCGGTTGAGTGCGGTGCAGCACAAGGCGAAGTCGAAGACGTGGTGCAGCTCGTCCGCAGGGTACAGCCCCATGGTTGGATCTACGATGGCCGGTAGACCCCCTCTGTCAAACCGATCCTTTGCCTGGGGAGGGTAGATGGGGAGAGGGAAGCGGGGAACAGCTGGTTTGAGGGCGTTTGAAGCGGTTGGCTGCAGTATAGGTTCTGGAAGTCCGAGCAGCGAAGGGCAAGGTAAAAAAACTGGTGCAGCTCGTGTGCAGGGTAAAGGCCCTTAGTTGAGATTCACTATAGCTAGGTGCGTGAGACGATGGATATTCACTCTGTCAGATTGCCAATCCCGAAAGCCCCAGCCCTATTCCAGCCTCCCTCCGTCCTCCCCTCCTCCTACCCGATCGACTCTCTCTCATTTCCCATCTCAACATCAGATCGGTTGGGGCGGTTGACTTTGTGGAGACCCTTAGCCGGTAAGCAGCTCGAGGAGCACGATGCCCAGCGAGCGGATACATGCCATGTGGTGTGGTGTGGTGTGGTGTGGTGTGGTGCATTGTGGCCCCTTCCGCCCATCCCCAGCTACCCCCCGTCGATAGGGGCGGTTGACTTTGTGAGGGCCTTTGCCAGTGAGCAGTTCGAGCAGCACAATGCCCAGCGAGTACATGTGATGTGATGGGGTGGAGTGGGGCGTGGTGTGGAGTGGTGGGGTGGGGTGTGGTGTGGTGTGGCCCCTTACCCCCACACAAGCAACCTTCCCTGATTCCCCCAACCAGGACTCATCTCACATCGAATCGGTAGGGGCGCTTGACTTTGTGCGGACCCTTGCCGGTGAGCAGTTCGAGCAGAACGATGCCCAGCGAGTACACGTCGATGCGCTTCGAGGAGTGCCTCATGCGCAGATAGTCCGGGTCGCAGTAGCCTTGGGGGAGATGGGTGAAGAGGACGGGGTGGTGGGAGTATAGGCAGCAGGGTTAGGAGTGTGGGTTTGCTTGCCCCACACACTGGTACGGTAACATGTTGATGCGCTTCGAGGAGTGCCCCGTGCGCAGATAGTCCGGGTCGTAGTAGCCCTGGGGGAGAGAGGGTGGGGGTGGGGGAGGGGTTTGGGAGTATGGGTGGCAGCAGTATGGGCAACATGGTTAGAAGTCGGAGTTGCCCCGCACACTGGTAACACGTCGATGCGCTTCAAGGAGTGCCCTATGCGCAGATAGTCCGGGTCATAGTAGCCCTGGGGGTGGGGGGGAGGGTGGAGAAGAAACAAGGAGGGGGAAACATATAAAGGAAGGGCATGCTGCTGGTAGTCAGGGTTGCAGTGGGTGAGGGGGAAGGGAAGGGGGTGAGTGTGGGGGAAGATGGGGCGAAAGAGAGGACCCTTGCCAGTAAGCAGTTCGAGCAACAGCACAATGCCCAGCGAGTACACGTTGATGCGCTTCGAGGAGTGCTTCGAGGAGTGCACACACCACTCCAGCACACACACCACTGAACTACCCGTGAACACCCACAACAAGCACTCACAGTGGTGCCTTGGATGGTGACCGACATCTTCCTCAGCTCTTCCGGAGTCATGGGCTTGGATGTGCCAAAGTCAGCAAGTGGAACTGGACTCACACACCACTCAACTACCCGTAAGCACTCACAACAAGCACTCTCAAGAGCACTCACAGAGGTGCCTTGGATGGTTACTGACATCTTCCGCACCTCCTCAAGCTTGGAAGTGCCAAAGTCAGCAACCTTGGCCACCACGTGCCGGTCAATCATGATGTTGCTGGACTTCACGTCCCGGTGGATGAAGGGTGGTGGAAAGGTGAGAGAGAGGTAGAAAGAGGTGGGCACTATCCAGCCCAAGAAATAGCACTCACAGCGGTTCTTTGGATGGTGACTGACATCTTCCTCAGCTCTTCCGGAGTCATGGGCTTGGTCGTGCCGAAATCAGCGATCTTAGCCACAACGTGCCGGTCAATCATGATGTTGCTGCGCTTCACATCCCGGTGGATGAACGGCACGTTGATCTCCTCGTGAAGATACGCTAGTCCTCGTGCCGTGCCCGCTGAGTAAATGCTCCGTCCAGTTGAGTGGGGGACGGCTGTGGCCTGTGGGGTTGGTTGGGAGAGAGGGCAAAGGGAGGGGAGAGCGGAGGGGATAAGCGGGAAAGAATGGTCTAAGGAGGAGGAGGGGACGGAGTGGGGGATACTGGGAAAGGCAAGGCACCATGTGCCAGTCAACCATGATGTTGCTGGGCTTGAGTGCCATTCGAGGTCCCGGTGGATGAAGGGCACGTTAATCTCCTCATGCAGATACGCTAGTCCTCGTGCCGTGCCCGCTGCAATAAGTAGCCTCTCCGTCCATTCAGTGGGGGGCGGCTGTGACCTGTGGCGTGGGGGGAAAGAGAGAGAATGGAGGGGAGGGGGTTGGGAGGGGGAGGGGGGAGGGTAATGAGGACTGAGGGGGGAGGGAAAAGGGTTCACCAGCCTTGCCTTCTACACGAGGATAACCCAGCAACCCGGGAATCAGACTCCTCCAACCACTCCAAAGCCGTACTCACGTTCTCTCCAGGTGGGGTTGAGGTTCTAGGGCAAGTTCCCTCCCGCCACATACTCATACACCAGCAGCTGCTCGCCTCCCTCCCTGCAGTACCCCACCAGTCGCACCAAGTTCTTATGGCTGACCCGAGACAACAGCTCAATCTCCTTTCGGAATTTCCCTGCATCCTGCTTCCGGTTCGCCTTGGCTCTTTTCACCGCTACCACGTCCCCGGAGGATAATTTCGCCTTGTACACCATTCCGTAGGTACCCTGCCCGTGATGGTTGCCCGAGGCGAAAGTGTTGGTGGCGTCTACAAGGACTTTCAGGGGAAAGCTGACCACCTTTTGGATGTCAAACGTCCCCGTGCCTCCGCCCGAGCCTGGATCGCCAGGCTTGGGCCGGACCTGATATTGCTGCTGCTGTTCGGCCTTTGCACGCACCGCCTCCTGCTGCTGTTGCTGCTGCCTCTGCTGCTCCTCCTTTTTCAGCCGCCGCAGCTGCTGCCGCCTATCCTCCTCCTCCTCCTCATCTCCCCCCTCTTCCCCCCTTCTCTCCTCTTCTTCCTCCACCCCATCCCCCTCCCTTACCTCTCCACTCCCCACCCGCCCCCCTCTCCCTCTTCTTCCACCCGCCTCGCTCGTTGTCGCCTCCTTCCCCTTTCCCTTCCCCCTGTCCTCCCCGCCTTTGCTAGAGCTTCCCCCTCCCCCTCCGCCCGCCCCCTGCGCCCTCAGCTCCTCCTCCGGAGCCACAGAGGAAGTTACGGCCGCACTTGAGGCACCTGGGGATAAGGGTTCGAGGGGGAGGGGAGGGGGGGGTGAGGTGACGGGGGGAGGAGGGGGGGGGGGATGACGGGGGAATGGGGGGAAAGTTTGAGTCTGCACCATAGCCTCTAAAATCTGTGCACCGGCTCCTCCTCCGGAGCCACAAAGGAAGTTGCAGCCGCACCAGAGGCACCTGGGGGATGAAAGGTCGGGGGAGGGGGGGAGTGGGGCGGGGGAAGTTCAAGTCTGCTTCGCCTTCTGCGCACCCCCTCCCCCTCCCGCCCCTGCGCCCTCAGCTCCTCCTCCGGAGCCACAGAAGAAGTTACGGCCGCACCTGAGGCATCTGGGCATGGGGGAAAGGGGGGAGAAGGCGAAAAGGGGGGTGAAAGGCAGGAGAAATGGGGACGTGAAGGGAACAGGGGGGGGGGACGAGGTGAATAACGAGGATGGGAGAGGGGAGCGGAGGGGGGAGGGGGGGAGGGGGGTCTTGAGTGGGGAGAGGAAGGGGGGGGGGAGGGGGTGGGTGAGTAGAAGACATATAGCTGCCGCCTTCCCAAGTAGCTGAGAACACCCTATCCGACACATTGCCTCAATAACCGAACATACGTGATTTGATTCCTTGTAACACCGGCGATGCATTTCCCTAGCGCACCTGAAGATTCTCCTGGCCGTCTGGGCGGCAGTCGCTTCCATAGCATGCTCGCGACCAATGTAGCACCCATCGATACAAGCACGGATACCGCGAGAGCCACCACCAGGCTACAACCACAACCGTGTCGCTACTGCTGCTCCTGCTACTATTTCCGCTGCTGCTGCTTCTCCCGCCAGTGCTCGAGCTGCTGCTGTTCCCGCTGGAGTCAGCAAGCAGCGTTCTACGTGGCCACCGTGGTGAGCTTGTATCGGGGACGGCAGGCAAGCCGCGACCGGACGCTTCTGCCGACGGCGTTTGCACTTGCGCGCAGGAGGGCGCGGCGGAGCTGGCCAACATAACGGCGACGAGAACCACATTAAACGATACTATCATCGCGGAAGTGTGAGGCCCGAAAAGTTGCGGGCCAGCAGCTTCAAACTTTGGTTACGCAAGAAAAAAGTCTAGGTCAAAGGCTTCTGGGGCGGGGTGACTTTCGAAGTTGCGGAAAAGTGACGACAATGCTGCAAAAGGACGGCCATATCGCAACCACACAACCCAACTAAAAGGAGACATCAGGAGTGACATTTGTCTGAAGGTCTTGGGTTTTAAATATACTTTTGCCACGTGGATGCATGAACGCCACGTTTACAGATATTTTATGCCAGGTGTCAAGGTGAATAATGGACGGCAAAATGCCACGTGGACCAATCAAATTTTGAGACGCATATTGACCAACGCAATTAAAAGTGTGAAGAATATTTGTACATTGAGAAACATAGACTTTTATAAATACAATCCTAGTACATCAGAGCTAACAATTCGCACTAACACCATAATCAACATGTTCTGGCACAACTAAACAATCTAAATGAAGGTACTTCAACAGAAGCAAACATTGCTGCCCCTTCAACCACTTGAGCCTGAAATTCTGAAACACACGAAAAAAAACAAAAACAACAAAACTCAAGAATGGCAGGGTAGCTCTTTCTCTCTTGCCATGGAACCTGCAAAAAAATGATGTTAGCCAGGAGAATACGAATTGGTAGTAGACATAACAAACTGACGTTAGCCAGGCGAGTACGAATCTAGTAGTAAACATACCTGCGGCCACTTACCTGTCGGCAGCAGGTACACTACGAATACTCGTCCGTTTGGAAACTTGCTCACGAAATACGCCAATATAAATAGTACGTCGCGCGATGAGGAGCGCACCGTGAAAATAACACACATCTGCACGACGTAAACCGACCAAGACAGAAGGGACTCCCACCAGGCCCTCCATTCCGTGCACAGCACGGTAAGCACGTCTCGACGATTTAGGCAGGAGCAACACATTTTTAAGAAACGTGCGAAATGGCCGCGCATAACAAAGATATAAGAGCACAAGGTGGCCACGTACCGGAAAAGGGTCGTTTCAGTGACGTCGAACAGCCGCTGTACGGTTGTAATGTCAGATTTATATGACATAGTTGCTGTAGGCTATAGTGGGGTAGCACATATGGGGTACAGGGTTTCTAGGGTTGTATTTGTACCCAATCTTTCCTTAGTCATTTCATTCCTGTTTTCCTTGCTTCACATGGTATCAGAGCGGGTCCTGCCTTAGGACCGTTTTTTTTTAGGGCCCACCGAAGCGCGCCCCGAGGCGCGCCTTTGTTTAGCGACCCCCTCGGGTCGCCTTTTCCCTCGCGGCCCCGCTGTCCCTCAGACGCGGCCCCGCCACCTCTCCTGATCGCGGCCCCGCCGCCTGTTTGACGCGGCCCCGCCGCCTCCCCTGACGCGGCCCCGCCGCCTCCCCTGACGCGGATCCGCCGCCTCCCCTGACGCGGCTCCGCCGCCTCCCCTGACGCGGCTCCGCCGCCTCCCCTGACGCGGCCCCGCCGTCTGTTTGACGCGGCCCCGCCGCCTCCCCTGACGCGGCCCTGCCGCCTCCCCTGACGCGGCTCCCCCGCCTCCCCTGACGCGGCACCGCCGCCTCCCCTGACGCGGCTCCGCCGCCTCCCCTGACGCGGCCCTGCCGCCTCCCTTGACGCGGCTCCGCCGCCTCCCCTCCCGGCCCGCCGCTGCTCCTGCCGGCCCGCCACTGCACCTGTCGGCCCGCCGCTGCACCCAGCGGCCCGCCGCCTCTGACGGCCTCGCCGCTGCACCTGCCGGCCTCGCCGCTGCACCTGCCGGCCCGCCACTGCACCCTACGGCCCGCCTTTCTGCATACCTACACGACCTGCCCTGCCTGGTGAGCACAGTCCCACTGACACTGCGAGCTCTTTCCCTGCTGCTTGCACTGCGTCGCTGTCGTCGCCATGGCTACCCCTAGTGTCCTAGCTTTTGACGCTGAGGGTCGCGCCATTGATTTTGAGGTCTGGTTAGACGACCTGCAGCTGTTCTTACTGTGCGACAGGGCTGACGACCTTTCTCTCTTTGATCTCACTTCTGGCGCCTCTCCTGCTCCTGCTGCTGATGCTGATCCCGCTGTCCGCTCTAAGTGGGCCACCCGCGATGCTGCTGCACGTCTTGCTGTGCGTCGCCACCTCCCTACCTCTGAGCGTGCGCACTTCAGTCAGTACAAGAGTGCTCGGACCTTGCGCGCTACTCCTCCCCTGCCACTGCTGCACTGAGCCGTCTCATGCTTCCCTACCTCTTTCCTGACCTCTCTGCCTTTCCCACTGTCGCTGACCTCATTACGCACCTCCGCACTAGTGACACTCGCTACCCGCGCCGCCCTTCCTGCTGAGTTCTGCGCTAAGAACCCCCCCCCCATGTACATCGCTCTCTACTACGTAGTCGCGCGCCTCCCTGACTCCCTTCGAGTCGTCAGGGACCACTTTCTCGCAGTCTGTCCCACCACCCTCACCGTCGACCTCCTCGAGAAGGCCCTCCTCGCAGCGGAGAAGACCATAGTCGCTGTAGGTGCTTCTCGTGGTGACCCTCGCACCCCCATCTTTGAGGGGTGCTCTCCTTCCCCCTTGCTGCCCTCTGTTGCCTCTGCTGCTGCTGCCGACCTGCTTGGTCTTGAGTCGGTCGGCGCGGCGTCTGCCCCTAGTGGGAGACGTCGCTCCAGCAAGGGCAAGGGGGGCAAGGGCGCGGGTGGAGCTGGAGGGGGCGGTGGTGGTGGCGGCGGTGGCGGCGGAGGGAGTGGGGGTGGCGGCGGGACTAGTGGCGGGGGTGGTGGTGGTGGTGGCAGCAGCGGCGGAGACGGTGGTGGTGGTGCCAGCGGTGGTGGTGGAGGCAGCGGCGGAGGTGGAGGCGGCGGAGGTGGAGGCGGTGGAGGCGGCAGCGGAGGTGGCAGTGGTGGTGGAGGGGGTGGAGCTGGTCGGGGTGGTACCCAGCAGCGTAGCGGCGGTGGTGGTGGCCAGCGCTCGCAGCGGCAGCAGCAGCAGCGCTCTCGGGACATCCCTTCGCCTCAGCAGCTTCGTGAGTGGTACGCTGGGCGTCAGAGGGGTGGGGGTACTGGTCCCTGCACCTACGTTCTTCGTTCCGGCGACCGCGCGGGTGAGCAGTGTGGGGGTGCCCACGCCACCCAGCGCTGCTTTGGCCGCCTGACGGACGCCTGGCGTCAGCAGTTCCCAGGGGCTAGTGAGATCCCTCGCTGGGATGAGCTTCTCAGGGCTGGTGTAGCGATCTTTGATCTTGATTTTGATGCTATCCTTACTGCTATGTATGTTGTGGATTATAGTGAGGAGAATGAGGGTTACCGCTGTTTCCAGCCCGACCCGGGCATTGGTACTGCTGCGCTAGGTGCTTGTGAGGCTGCTGCTCTAGGTGCCAGTGCGTCTGCGCTCTCAGGTACTGGTGAGACTGCGCTCTCAGGTACTGAGTCGTCCTCGTCCTCCCTCACTTTCACACTTGACTCCGGAGCTTCTCGCTCCTTCTTTCAAGACCGCACTACCCTTACGCCGCTCGGCCGGCCGGTTGCAGTCTCCCTTGCTGACCCCTCTGGGGGTCCTGTCCTGTCTCACTTCTCCACTGTCCTCCCGTGTCCGGCTGCCCCTTCGGGCACCCTGTCGGGTCTGTACCTTCCCTCGTTCTCTACAAACTTGGTGAGTGGAGCGGACGTGCAGGATGTGGGTGTTCACCAGTTCACTCCTGCGAGTCAGCGGGTGACCCACTGCACGGAGGTACGCATAGGCCGACACCTGGCCACGTTCTCGCGTCAGCCGGGGTCGAGTCTCTACACCCTGACCGTTGAGTCTCCTCCTGTCCCTGCGTCTGGTCAGGTGGCTGCGTCGGGTCAGGTACTTGCTGCTGCGTCCCGGTCAGGTCCTGAGTCTGCCCCCTGTTCTTGTCGCCTCCTGTCTCACGAGACTCTCCTGTGGCACCACCGTCTTGGCCACCCCTCCTTGCCCCGTCTTCGGAGCATGGCTTCCCGTGTCCTTGTCTCTGGTCTTCCCCAGTCTCTCCCTCCTCTCCCCTCCGGGCCAGGACCTTCCTGTGTCCCCTGTGTCGAGGGTCGCCTCCGGGCTACTCCTCACTCCTCCCACTTCCCCCCGACAGAGGCTCCCCTGCAGACGCTTCACATGGATGTGTGGGGCCCAGCCCCCGTCCGTGGGCAGGGTTACGAGCGCTACTTCCTGTTGGTGGTTGACGACTACTCGCGTTACACCACAGTCCTCCCCTTGCGCAGCAAGGGTGCGGTCACTGAGGTGCTGATCGACTGGATCCGCGAGGCTCGTCTCCAGCTCAGGAAGAGCTTCGGCTCGGACTTTCCTGTTCTGCGTCTGCACTCTGACAGAGGCGGAGAGTTCTCTTCCCGCCTTCTGCGAGACTAATGTCGTGCACGGGGGATCCGCCAGACCTTCACGCTTCCGGACTCACCACAGCAAAATGGGATTGCTGAGCGCCGCATTGGCATGGTCATGGATGTCGCTCGTACGTCCATGATGCATGCGGCTGCCCCCCATTTTCTGTGGCCGTTTGCGGTGAGGTACGCGGCGCATCAGCTCAACCTTCACCCCCGGGTCTCTCGGCCTGCGATGTCCCCAGCCTTGCTGTGGACGGGGAAGGTTGGCGATGCGTCTGTGTTCCGTGTCTGAGGATCTCGGGCGTTTGTCCGCGACTTGTCTGCGGACAAGCTGTCCCCTCGTGCTGCTCCCTGTG